GTGCTTTGATCGCCTTATTTTGCTACACTCTTTCTTGTTCTTTGTAGTAAGCTAGAGGGAATTGACTTCCATTTAATCTGTCCACAATTTTTCTAGGATTTCTTGTTCCCTTCGAATAACACTGGCTCGCAGCTAATCCAATCTCTCACATTGAGGATGCTGAGGCTGTGCCACCAGTTATGCTGCCCTTCTTGCAGTCAGGATAGAGTTCAATATGGTTTAAGTTGTCAATTAGCTTTTACTGCATAGAAATACTCCCTCCGTCCCACTTTGATAGTCCTGTTTCTTTTTTCACACAATTTAAGAAAAAGTAATTAACTTTGTTGGAAAAGTAAATTTAGATTACTATTTTTTTAAAATACTCTCACATTAAATATGGTACAACTTTATGGGAACTTGAATTGATGGTAAAAAAAGAATCAATTCTCATTAAATGGAGTAAGTTTATAGTAACAACTACTTACATTGAATGGGGGTATTTTAGGAAAATTAAAATACAACTACATTCTTCAATTGGAAAGTGAACTATAATTTGGGACAGATGAAAAAGAAATACAGGACTATCAAAGTGGAACGGAGGGAGTACTATGCTGCCTTGAGATTTTGCAGAATTAGAAACATTGCATGTCTGTTGTGGCTAACTTTCAAAGTGCATAGGAATTATTTATTGATCATAAAAGATGCGATAGGCCAAATTTAGTAGTTAAGCTCTATGGATTTTGTGGATCTTTTTGGTATGTTCCCCCGCTTGTACTAGAATTTTCTTCATTCAGAAGTATCTAACTTATTGCGGGGTTAAGTGTTTAGTTTCTCGTCCATCTGAGTTACCTTTTGCTGAATTGTTTTCAGGAACTTCAGGAACATTGCATGTCTTCTGTGACTGACTTTCTAATTGCATAGGGATGATTTAATGATGGCCAAAGATATGGTAGACTGATAATATTGGATTAGACCATGGATTGGGATCTTCTTGTTATATTTCTCCCACTTGTACCAGAATTTTCTTCTATCAGAAGTATCTTGCTTATTGTGTGGTCAAGTGTTTAATAACTCACGCATCTCAGCAGCCTTTTGCTAAATTCTTTTTTTCTTTCTTGGGGACATCTGGTTAAGTTTATTAACTTCAAGATGGTGTACCACTTGGTTATAGATATTCCATTGTCATTCTCATTCATAGAGTTTAACATGGTTTAAGCTTTTTGAATTTGAGAATTGAGTTTTGTAATATCCAGTTTAATCATATGAATCATTCGATGGTTTGCCTAGTTAGCTATTTGGCAGTTCTGGATGTTCATCTACCTTTGATGAGCTTTTCATCTACATGATAGTGTTGCTCGTTCCACATTTCCATGGTTCAGTTTAGGATGGAGAGTGTTCTGCTGCATGCCATATCTCTGTTTTGGTCCCTGTTTGTACATCTTTGTCATGCTGTATTTTGTGCTTTTAGATAATTCTATTGAAGAAATTCCTGCTCCAATATGCAATCTTGTTCACCTCAAGTCACTCTGCCTGGACAATAACGATCTGAAACAGGTAATCATTTCTCAAGCTTCGTCATTGACATCTAATGTGCTCATAGCATTACTTCCTCATTTCCTCTGGTTGATGGGTACTTTTTGGTACAGTTCTTTTGCCATTTTAATGCGTTTATGGTGTGACACATTATATTCCAATGTTGGTTCAACTTAGTTTTTACATGAAGTATCTTGCACTTGTGATCTGTCAGTTTGTAGTTCTGAATTGTGGAGATGACTTCTAAAATGATTTCTACTTATGTTGTAATGATGGCTTGACATTTCCACTTACAGATACCTCCAAATATATTAAGAGAATGCAGAAGTCTTCAAAATATTTCTCTCCATAATAACCCGATTTCGATGGACCAATTTCAACAGGTGAAACCTAATTCTCTTCTATATTGTTCATCAGTTTTTCAAAATTCCGTTAGCATTGCTCTTCTTTTTCTAAAAGAAATTCAACTTGAAATTTCTCTCAGATGGAAGGATTCCAAGAATTTGAAGTTCGGAGGAAAAAGAAGTTTGATAAGCAAATAGATTCAAATGTAATGATTGGTTCCAAAGGGCTTGATGAGGGTGTTGACCTCTGACGTGGGTTGTTAAGCTTGATGTTTATGTTTTGTCCTGGTATGACGCTCCAGGTATTGCCTTACTATTGACAGTCAGGGTGTCCTTTGCTATTTTCACTTATCTGTTTACAGATCAAGTACATGCTAAACTGTGATACAGTAGCTTAGTTGATTTCTTGTGCCTCTTTTCTCTCCAATGCAACCCCAAAAGATGTAGCAAATAGCTTTTGCAGACCTTAGGCGTCTCTTAGGATGTTGTTTTTGACTACCCACACTGTCTGTTATATTCTGTTATGAATAGTTTGCTTTTGTTCTATGATACACTCAACTCTGATAATCTTTAATACCGCATGGAACTCATGAAGAAGTTCAGGTGTTGATGTTTGTGTAATACAAGTGTTAATGCTGTGCCACAAATAATAGGTTTCTGAAAATGCAGGGGATACTTATTTTCTGAAAAAAAAAAGGAAATGAGCATGGACGTAAGCTTCCTATTGCAGTAGGGGGTTTCATGACAGAATATGATTCCAATATGTTTTACCATTTGTTCGTCTCTAACCGAAGTCTGCCAACTAATCAATTTGTTGAAATACTGGCACACAATAAACTTTCTATTGCAGTAGGGGTTTCATGATAGAATATGGATTCCAATATGTTTTACTGTTCATCTCTAACCGAAGTCTACGAGCTAATCAATTTGCTGAAATACTGGCGCACAACAAACTTTTAAAGTATCTTATCTGTTGTCTTCTAGGCTCTAGCTGCTTTGATGTTGTTACGTTGCTAGTTCTGATGTAATTTTTGTATCTGCAGTTGAGTGAGGCTCTATGTGTACAGAAGTTATTCAAATTTGGAAAAGGAAGATGGTTGTCACGTTGTGCGTTCTCTTGTCCTCCCTGCAGCTTTTTGGTAGACCGGCCATTATCCAGAGCAGAATTTGATTAAATGATGCATGGTTAGGCATGATACCTGTGAATGCTATATCCTTTGTCACTAGCTGTATATCTCTATTGGGTCTTGTATAGTATAAATCTCAGTAGTGTCTGCAGCAGATGAATATTCAAAATAGTGAGACTTCGAATTTTTTGATTCCGACTTCTGAATGGCTAATAGAATTCAACATTTGTTTTTTTACTTTGGTATTTTCTGCTTACTGATTCTTTGTTACTCCAATGTGGAGAATGGACTTTTCATTGTGGATAACGGTTATAAATGGCTGGCCTTCACAACCTAAAGACAAAGTCCAATTTTGTAACAAACATGATGAATAGTTTCTTTGTTCAAAAAGATTTTCTTCTTAACCATAGTAGCACTTTACCTTGTTCAAGCCTTAGCTGCTTTCCAAAAGTATGATAATTAATTTTCAAATAAATGCTAGCAATTTACTTGCTGATGAAATTCATGTATAAGAGACTCCTTATCAATAATTTGCCAAATTGCAAAATGAGGTAGCTCATAGATTGGCAAGATATGCACGAGAGATTCCTGGGGTAGCAAATGAGGATTCTCTTCAACTTTCCTGTACTGCCTTTGGGACACAAGTCTCTGTTATTTCACTTAATCCTTCCTCAAATATTCCAAAATTTAAACCAATCTGAAGTTAAACTTTCCTATACTCCATCCATACCATGAAACCAATCTGAAGTTAAACTGTTAAACCAACATATAAAAACAGCTGTAAGCAAAACCAAGCAGTCTTTTCAGTTTTCATTAGATGAACCATTGGTCTGTAGCACAGAGTAGTTATTCCCTGCAAACACAGTGATAACATTGAATGAAAAACAAAACAATTACTTGATCAATCATAGAACGAGTACTTTCTCAGGCAACAAACAATTGGCTGGCAAAACTACCAAATCACGCTGGCAGTTTTCAAAAACTTGTAAAAAGAACCACGACAACCAAAAACTATTCTGTAAAACAATGCTGATTAAAATACAACAGAAAAACCTTTGAAGAAAGTTTAAAAACACACCACTCTGCAGCAAGTTTAAAACATAGAACAAGTTTCATGTCACTATCAGAGTATACTCAATGACAAAGTGCAGCAAGTTTCAAAAGCTACCAGAAGAAAGGTCGCTAGAGCTCCCAAACAAAAGGCGAAAGTATCAACAACTGATGAGAGATACAGCAGCGAAAGGTCTTTTGGCTATTGCTTGTGCTCAACATAATTGAAGTTTGAAAATGCATTTGATTCCTTTGGCTGGTGAATAACATTCTCAAAGATATCATTCAGCATTTTGTTGTCAAGCATTCCTTCCAAGACTTTATCCTTGAAAACAGATGAGATTCTAGACTTGTTTCTTTTCCTGTCTTGAGAAGAAAATACCAAGTCAGACAAGCGATCTTTGTTAGTCTGTTGAGCATACTTTTCAACCTCCAAGGTCCCAGAGGTTATGAAATGATAAACATAGACAGACTTCTTTTGGCCAAGTCTACATGCTCTGCTTATTGCTTGCCTTTCAACTGCAGGATTCCAGACAACGTCTAACAAAACAACTCTTGAAGCCCCACTAAGATTTATTCCTTCAGAACAAGCTTTTGTGGACGCAAAAAGAACTTTCACCTTACTGGAGGGATCATTCAGAGAACTAATTGATGACTGGCGATTCTTCTCGTCACGTTTTCCATCCATATACAGCACTTCTATGCCTTCCCTCCACTTCAACTGATCTATCAACTGCTGCATTATGAATCTCAAAGGGTGAATAAATACGCTAAAAACTAAAACCTTCTCATGCGATGCATCACATAATCGGATGAGCTCAATGGCAAATTTCATCTTTACTCCAGCATAAGGACTACAATCAAGTACCCCTAGTCTGTCTTTGTCAGCAGAGAAGCGTTTACTGAAAGCAGCCAATGAGGGGTGGACAGAAATGAGTGACACCAAATGTACTTGGTCAAACCTGCTTCAATCATCCGATATAAGCTGAAGAATGCCCTTCTGCTCATCAGTTGGCCGCAAAATAACAAGTGTGTCCTTCAGACCAGGGAGACTCTCCTCTAGTATAGAACCTTTGTGTACATGTACAAAAGGATCTATCATAGCTTTGAGCTCCTCTACTGCATTGTCAGAGTTGTTATCAATGGCATTGGTCAAGGAAACCCATCTCTCTTTCTCCACATTGCTCTTCCGCTGCCATCTTCTGCTGCAACTCTCAGAGGTCACTGAACCAGAAAGTTTTGGGTTTACCAGGCAAAGAGTATTATACAACTCTTCGAAGTTATTCTGAAAAGGAGTTCCAGAGAGGATTATCTTTCTTTTTGTCTTAACTCTTGTCAAAACCTTCCAGACAAGACTCTGTTGATTGCGAGGCGTGTGCCCTTCGTCAAGAACCACAAGACCAGGCAGTTGAAGAAAGATTTCCTTAAGTTTTTCATCACTTCCTTTTCCCTTCCGTCCACTAGCAATGTGCTCAAACAACTTGTAGCTGATTCCTAGAACACTTTTCTCCTTTGTCCACGAGTACAGCTTTCTCATTCGGCTTCCTACTCTTCGAAGAAAATTTGCATCAGTTTTGAGTTCGTTTCCCGACAAATCCTTGCTATTAAAGTTATGAAAAGGAATTCTATATCCCCATTTTCGGAACTCATTTTCCCAGGTAAGCGGCATGCTTGTAGGAGCTATAATCACGGGTTGGCACATTGGATACATTTTCAACAATGACAGAATAAAAACAATTGTCAGGCAGGTCTTCCCGGTGCCAGGGGAATGTGATATTATGGCTCCTCTTCCATCATCAGAAAGTTCAGTTTTCAGCTTCTCGATGTTGGTTTCTCCTACTATGTTTTTCCACAAGAAGACAAATCCATCCAGCTGATGACTATACATTGACATCCTAATGTCATCTGGAATATGATCCAGTACAAAGCCTTCAGCATCAATGGGGGTGTAATAGTTTCCAGAGGCTGAGTCATCAAGATGAAGCTCAGGAATACCAAAGTAATCTCTGCTAAGGTCAACCCAATCCCGTCTTCGTGGAGTCTCTTTTTTCTGCAGGCAATAGCAATTTAGATAAAATTTAAAAATAACTGGGAATGCAAGCAACAATATGAAGTTCTGGTAATATCGTAAAGGTCCCATTTCACTACACAACTCAGCCCAGATTATTAAGCTCTTTGCTAGTAAAAATGATGCTAAGGTGGTCTCTACCATTAAGTATGGTGCTTGTTTTTGGTTCTATGATAGGAAATTAAGAGGTGGTTGTTTTTGGTTCTCTGATAGGATATTAAAAGGTGCTGCTGCTTTGACACATGATACTCCTTATTTTCTGCCTGTTGTAGATTTTGACAATCAGGTAGATTGGAAACCTGATTCTTCAGGAATCTACACTACTAGATTAGCCATGAAAAAGTTTCAATCTCAGTCTAATAGTTATCCAGGTATATAGTTGTCTGTGGAAAGAAATATATGCTTAGAACATTCCTATATCTTAAGGTTGGCATTTGTGAGTGGAGATTAAGTACTAAAGACAGGCTACTCTCTCGGGGTATGCGGTATGCCTGTTGAACATGGTTTTGTTCCTAATGAATCTCTGAGCATATACTCTTGTTCGTACTCTCTAAGAACTAGCTAGATAAACAGTTGCTAAGACTTGGTCCATTGAATTGTTATGGGTTGAACAACACTGTGCTGGAAAGTCATTTGGTAGAAATGTGTGCAGGGTGAGATCTGCTGTTGCAGTTTATCAGCTCTGGGGAAGTGGAAACTGTAAAGTTATCGAAAAGTCTATTGTATCCAGTTTACTATTTTTGCAAGCAAATCTTTCAGGACCTTTGTGGTATGGTTAGTGGTTTGGCTTGGTTCTTCAGTTTAGTGTGCCTAGAGTTAGGCATTTCTCCTAAAGTTTTAGAGTGAGTTCTAGAATAGCATAGTGTCTGTTATGCACTTAGAACAGAAATTCTTGTTTCTTTGTCGTTGTCATGGTGTTCCCCCATCTTACATGCTTACGCTTCTGTTTTGAGCCAATAAAGCAAGGAGCTTAGTGAAAAAAAAATTAGGAATATGAAGTTCATTTATTTAGGTTCATCTGTAAGGAGCATAAAAGAAGGGAATTCAAGTAAGATAAAATTGCAAATGGACTAGTGGGAATACATACCAGAGTAGGAAAAATGTCCTTCATCTCCTTGTGCACAATTTGACAACATCTGCATATGATTCCAATTGGTTCTTCAAGAATCAACTGATGTTTCCCTGAGAGACATTATTCTGCTTGGCACTTGGCCGTTGCAGTGACATGATGAGCGCCATCCTGATGATCAACACCACAAGAACACAAAATCTTCTCACATGAGTTTCAATTTGGACAATCGGATAATTAAAATGAGTAAAACAGGTATGATAAGAAGAAAACTCAATCAATGTTCTTGTGCTCAGAATGAACAGAAATTAAAAATCCAAAAAGGTGTGGAAACTAAAAACATCATTGTAAATTGACAGCAAAGCCAGCAAAAAATATCAATAACATTATTTGGACGATGCAAATCTAAGCCAAATGGTAAATTTGACCAGAAGGGTGCAAAACTTGGGAGGTTTCTTATGACACAAATAGCACACTGAAAATACTTTTATGTCTTTCTGTCTAATGACTGAGATCTCGCAAAGAACTAGATGGGAGTATCTGTATGTGATTGTGAATACAACGAAATTTCTAGAACAAATTTACGTAATACAACGATGACGAAAAAGAAATCAAACAATCCAAAATATTGTATAGTTTGGAAATTGAAAACATGTCTTACAATCCAAATATTGTAAAGTTATTGTACAAGAGCAGAGGAAATTGCCTACTTCCACATTATCAAAATTTTCATGCATGGACAAGTTAAAATATCAGAGTAAGACTAAATTTCATGGACTCCTTTTCCTTACAGCAGCACATGGATGAGAAAACTTTCTTTGTCATTAAAACTGATATCTAGCTTAAATATTTCTAAAAGTGGTTCAAAAGGAGAACAACAAGCTTTTCCTGTGGGTTGCATAAATAACTTAAAATGAATAATAGAATCATCCTGTTAACAGGTATCTTGGGAGAAAAACATCTAGTCACCGTATTATGAGTGACCAACTAGTATTTATAGGAATACAAACCTAACAAACTATTTACAAGAATACCCTTACTAATTTATTATTTACAAGAATACTTATATTCTCTTAACACTCCCCCTCAAGTTGGAGCATATATATCATAAGCACCCAATTTGTTATAAATGTATTTTATCCTAGAGCCCCATAAATTCTTGGTAAACACATCAGCCAATTGATCTACAGACGGTACATGAGATGTCTTGATGACCCCGTTAAGCAATTTCTGTCGAATGAAATGACAATCAACTTCAATATGTTTTGTTCTTTCATGAAATACTGGATTAGACGCAATATGAACAGCCACCTGATTATCACACACTAAATTCATAGGCTGTTTATGCTCAAACCCAAGTTCCAGTAACATGCTCTTCAACCAAACCAACTCACACATAGTGTGAGCCATAGCGCGGTATTCAGATTCTGCACTTGATCTGGATACAACTGTTTGCTTTTTACTCTTCCACGACACTAAATTACCACCAACAAACACACAATATCCTGTAGTCGATTTTCGATTTGAGGCAGAACCAACCCAATCTGCATCACTATATCCTTCAATATCAGTGTGTCCATGATTTTGATACAGCAACCCTTTTCCAAGAACACTCTTAAAATACCTGAGAATCCGTATAACATCATCCCAATGACTAATACGAGGGGTATCAAGAAATTAACTCACAACACTCACTGCAAACGAAATGTCAAGTCTCGTTACAGTGAGATAATTTAATTTACCCACAAGTCTTTGATATTGCTTAGGATCATCAAGTAATGCACCTTGATCTCCTGCTAATTTTACATTGGGATCCATAGGAGTATCCACAGGTCGGCAATCTAACATTCCAACTTCACTCAACATATCGAGTACATATTTTCTTTGACATAAATAAATCCCATATTTAGACCGAACTATCTCAATACCCAGAAAATACTGTAAATGACCTAAATCCTTTGTCTGAAAGTTTGCCTGCAGATTGGATTTAAGTTTCTGGATCCCCACAACATCATCACATGTAATCACAATGTCGTCCATATAAACAACTAATAAAATTTTACCAGTATTAGAATGCCGATAAAATACAGAGTGATTTACTCCACATCTTGTTAGACCGAACTCCATGACAACACTACTAAACCGGCCAAACAAAACCCTCGGAGACTGTTTCAATCCATATAAGGATTTTTTCAAACGACAAACCAACCGCGGATTCTCCCCCTGAACAATAAATCCAGGAGGTTGTTCCATATATACCTTTTCTTCCAAATCTCCATGCAGAAATGCATTTTTCACATCCAACTGATGCAATGACCAATTATAAATTGTTGCCAAAGAGATAAGAAGACGAACAGAGGTAATCTTTGCAACATGAGAAAATGTTTCTAAGTAGTCTACTCCATACACTTGAATAAATCTTCTAACTACCAGACGAGCCTTCAATTTATCAATAGAACCATTAGGCTGCATTTTTATAGTGTACACCCATTTACAACCAACAACAGGCTTACCTGAAGGATGAGGGACAGGATCCCAAGTACCATTTTGTTCCAAAGCAGACATCTCTTCTTACATAGCTAATCTCCAACCAGGATGATTAAGAGCATAAGCAATAGACTTAGGAATGGAGATAGAATCAAGGGAAGCAACAAAAGAAGAATATGACATAGAAAAACGAGAATAAGAAACAAAATTAGAAATAGGATGAAAAGTACAATGTCTCTTACCTTTGCGTAAAACAATAGGAAGATCTAACTCAGAGGAGGGCGTCATACCTGGATTTGAAGATTAAAAGTTAATTGGTGAAGTGCGTGGCATATCAGGAACTTTCTCAACTATGGAACGACGAGAGTAAACTTGAAGATGAGAACGAGATAATCGAGTTATGGAATCTGGTGGACTAGATAACTCAGGTAATAAAGGGGAAGGGACTGGTAAAACAGGAGAGAAAAAAGAGGGACACTGGTCTAACTCACAAGACATACTTTGTTTGATAAAATATGGAGTGGATTCAAAGAAAATAACATCAGCACAAGTAAAAAATCGATTTAAAATTGGACTGTAACATCTATACCCTTTTTGCGCTTGTGCGTATCCTAAAAAAATACACTTAATAGCACGAGAATCTAATTTATCCACCCCGGGAGCAAACTGATGAACAAAGCACACACATCCAAAAATACGAGGAGGCAATTTAAACACAGGTTCATGACGAAAAAAAATGGAGTGAGGTAATTGACCTCTAAGAATATTAGATGGCATGCGATTAATTAAATAACATGCAGTTAGAACTGCATCACCCCAAAATTGTTTGGGCATATTCATGTGCAACAACAGTGTTCGAGCAATTTCGATTAAATGTCCAATTTTTCTTTCAGCAACTCCATTCTGTTGTGGAGTGTGAGGACAAGAGGACTGATGAATAATACCAGACTTAGTCATAAAGGTATTAAAAGGAGTGAAAAAATATTCTTTCGCATTATCACTGCGAAGTATACGTACAGGCACACCAAATTGATTCTTTATTTCTGTAACAAATGCACAAAAAATGGAATATAATTCTGAACGATTTTTCATTAAATAAAGCCATGTAACTCTGGAAAAATCATCAACAAACACTACAAAATATTTAAAACCTAACTTTGAAGTGACTCGACTAGAACCCCAAACATCAGAATGAACTAACAAAAAGGGTTCAGAAACCCATTTATTGACTTTAGGAGCAAAAGAAACACGATGATGCTTTCCTAACTGACAAGACTCACATTCTAACGAAAATAATTGACTCAAAATAGGAACCAACTTTTTCAAATTTTGTAAAGACGGATGATCTAAACGACAGTGAATTTCAAGAGGAGAAACAGTAGCAGGACATGCTATCGGACCATTGAAGTTGAGAAAGTAAAAACCATTATGCTCATGCCCTCCACCAATCATCTTCTTTGTCTTCAAATCCTAAATGACAACAGAATCAGGAGAAAAAGTAATTGTACACTATAGAAATTTAGTGAGTTTACTAACAGACATTAGATTAAAGGACAAATTGGGTATGTAAAGAACAGAAGACAGCGGAAGTGATGGATTAATTTCTACAGTGCCTAGTCCTTTAACTTTAGTGGTAGATCCATCAGCTAAAGTAACATGAGGAAAGGGAGTAGACTCTTGAAAATTAGAAAAAATTTTAGAGGTACCTGACATATGATCAGTAGCCCCGGAATCAATAATCTATGAGTCATTACCTTTTTGTGCTAAAGAAGTAGAGGGAAGAGATGCGTGATTTGTAGTTTGGTACTGTAGGAATTTAACATAATCTTCCTCAGGTATAGTAACTGTCTTCTGGGACCCATGTGCTGAAAAACTCGATTCAATTTGGTTAGCGGTAACCGCATGAACAAACATTTCAACCATGACGAATAGCACATCAAACCAAAGATAAGGTCAAAACTCGAGATGACAGTGACGTGTGAACAGTACGTCGTGAACAGTGCTGCGCCGTGAACAGTAACGGCGTGAACAGTACTGCGCCGTGAACAGTACGCGCGTGAACAGTGTCGCGATGAACAATGCGGCTGAACAGTACTTTTGACTAGATATTTAACCCTAACCCTAGGACTTTTGCTCTGATACCATGTTAACAGGTATTTTGGGAGGAAAACATCTAATCACCGTATTATGAGTGACCAACTAGTATTTATAGGAATACAAACCTAACAAATTATTTACAAGAATACCCTTACTAATTTATTATCTACAAAAATACTTATATTCTTTTAACACATTCCATCACCATCAGTAACAAACATACAATGTTAGGATCAACTAAATAGCATGCACAATTGATCATGAAACAGCAACTTGTATTGTATTCTTAAAACTACATAAGAAAGCATACTGTCAACAAAACTATAACTATTTGAAAAACTACATGATCTTGTTAACCATGGATTATTAGATAATAACCGAGGAAGAAACAGATATTAGATGACCAACATGAGATGATACCTACTGCATGTTTCCAAATCATTTCAAAGTTCTAAGGCATCAACTTCAGTATTCCAGGGCAGAAGTCAAAACATTAGCAGATTAACTAAAATCTCCAAACTCAGCTGACAGACAAAGAATGGATCCAACAGAAGGAATAAGGCAGCAGCATAATAATGAGCTATCTTTCAAATCATTATCAGCAGTAACGTATTGAAGAAACAATCATTCGTTTCTCTAGGATTAGTTAAACTGTTCAACCTGCATGGAAACTATGTAGATACTTATGTAACTCCAAATCCAAAAATCACACTGTAGTAATCAGAGAATGTCAAATCTCTCAAAATTAACAAAGCACCATTACCTCGGATGATTCAGTAAAGTCAGAATCTGGTAATGTGAGACACATTTCCATCTCAGTAAAAAGATCATCAATTTCTTTCTGCCAGTCTTCTTTCTTGGGTGGGGTTAAATCCTCGTCATCAAATCTGAATTTTAATGGCAGTATATGAGTAGAACCATTGTCTTCAAAAGAAAATGGTTTGTTTGTCTGCTCATCATCCTTCAGCATGAACCCCAGAAGAATATTCATGTAATCCACATCTCTTTCTCTTCTCTTTGAGGGTTTAGATATCCTACTGCTTTCCTTTTTCTTCTTTGGCTTCTGATCTGATAAATCAGAATCCTTACCTGAAGAATCAGAACTTTCACTCTCAGAAACAAGAAGACATCACTTCCTTGATGTTTCGAGTCCTGGTTCGTGTTCTCTGGACTTTGGACTTGGTAGTTGAATGAAGCCATCATCTTTTCCTATCCCTCCTTCAAGGTTATCCTCACTACAATAACCCCAATGGTTTGATTGTGTACCAAAGCTCCTTGATTCTTCTTCACTACAGGCATTATCAGAATCATCAGCATCCTCTTCAAAGCTAGAGGATTTTGAGTTGAGATCATCAAGATTCTCAATTAGAAGACCCTTTTCCTTGTCTTGAGCTCGATTCCCTGAAGGTTCACTCTCCATGGTCATTCTTTCATTTGTTGCATTTCCATCACTTCTAACCCTCTTTCTTCTTCTACATGGAAACTGCTTCCTACCCTTGACATAACTACATCTCAAGTTTGGAGGGACATCTTCTTCAGTTACAAGCACGACATCACTTCCACTTCCCCTATCACTATTCTTACCCCTGTAAATAGTGTCTCTCTTCCTCATCCTATCTAATTCCTTCAATTTCACTTTTTCCACCACTTCCTCTTCCCCCAAAATCCTAACATCACTTCCACTACTCTCATCATCATTGAAAATTTTTTTAGCAGTTCCCTTTCTCTTTCTATTGAACATCTTCCGGTTTACATTTTCCCCCTCTTGCTCTTCATCACTACTACTGCTGCTAATTCTAACCATTTCTTGTGACTTTTTCTGACTCCAATTCTTCCCTCACCACTTCCTCTTCCCCCAAAATCCTAACATCACTTCCACTACTCACATCATTATTGAAAATCTTTTTAGCAGTTCCCTTCGTCTTTCTATTGAACATCTTCCAGTTTACATTTTCCCTCTCTTGCTCTTCATCACTGCTACTGCTGCTAATTCTAACCACTTCTTCGACATTTCTTGTGACTTTTTCTGACTCCAATTCTTCCCTCTTTTTTCCCTCAGTAGCGTTCATTTCATGAGAGCCATGGGCTCTCTCACTTTCCTCTTTCTTCTCCTGCTTCTTCTCATTGTATTCATTAGTCATATGCTTTATTTGAGCCCTTGTCCACTTCGCTACAGTGCTTCTCTTTTCTTCCATGTTACCTAAAAATTAAAGAAAGCAAAGATTATAAACCCAAATAGCAACACATAGAAAATTAGAAACTACCATAGCTTGGTAAAAGTGACAATGATCATTTAAACCAATGATAGACCTGCAGACCTCCAAGAAAAAGAAACAAATTATGCAGAAGCTAAGCTATAGCTGCAGTATAAACTTCAACTCTGGCTAAATAGCCCTTACCATCAGGGTCTAGGAACATTATTCTAAAAGGTGCAAGGTACAAGTCATCTGCATAAACAACAAAAATAAGAGAAATTCTTTGCCTTCTAGCACAGCAAAACCTTATCCTAACTCCAGCTTATACCAGAAAACTTTGATTGTCAACCATGAAACCAAATTTTTCACCCCACAAAGCATTGAATTCCATACAAACACACAGTCATACACAGTAACAATACTTTAAAGATCAAAGATACTATTTTGGAGATAAGAAAAACAAAGCTTTAATGCCTTTCTAAATTAAAGTAGGTTGTCCATTTTTAATGATCCTCTTCATAAACTTACCATTACACCTATGAAAAACTGGTTAGTTCAATCATCTACTAGCTAAAAAATCTTAGACCAGATTTGCCAACATATAAAGATAAAAGATAAAATGTCTTAGACCCAAAGGAGAAACATGCTCTCAACATTAAGTACAGCTTCATAGTGACTTGTGCATCATGGAAGTAAATATTGTGGAAATCGATCTTTTCTAGGGAAGTAAATGTCTTTTTCAGAACTAGAGTACTTCACAAGCAAGCATTTGATCTGAAAGCGAAACCCCGTGACTAAAATGTTAACCAAGATTTATATTGCTCTTTTCTATGATAGCCCATTAGATCTTGATATGATCAATCTACTTGCCCTAATGAATTTCCATGGCAGATGAAGCCAATAACAAACTAGCATTTGGAAGCAATACATGGCCCTTTTGCATCTACTAGCTCAACAATCTTAGATCAGATTTCTCAAGAAATAAAGATGAAATATGACAAACATATCCTACATATCCTACATTACTGAGTATTGAGGTACCGTATTTCTGATAAGATGAGAAAAAAGCCTGAACACAAGCTTTTTGAGCACTGGAAAATTAAGCAACATCCTCCATGTTAACCAAGTAGTTATGCCCCAAGAGCCAAGAAAACATTCAGCAACTTTTAATGCGTGTCTTTTAAACCGCAAAGTATTCAAAATAAAATGCGTAACAAATTCTTTATTGTTTTAATAACAAAATAAAGGGTTCACTACCACTAACACAGAAGCTTTCGGAGATCACATGGAAGCAGACTAGCTATGCATTTAGTCCTCTACAGATTTTAGGAATCAAAACCACCAAACCAACAAAATCTTTCTCAAAGAAGATAGAAAAAAAGTATTATAGAAACAAAGACGACAGTAAACAAAAATCCCATAAAATCATCTAGTAAATAATGGCAATATAAATGCAAAATAGGAGAGAACATAGAAAAATCTCTTGATTCCAAAAAAGGACATGCTTATAAAAGTACACACTATAAAGGGCATGTGACATGGAGATGGTATCCCTTATTTCTGACGAGCAACACACATATTTATGGAAACAAGTACCAAAAGTATGATTTTCTCAGCCAAGTAGTACTGTACATACACAATTGGGAGCAGAACAAGTTGAAAGCAACTTTTTGCAGATATGATCCAGCATTATGATGAAAAACTTGTGTTCCACCTTAATAATAGTTTTTTAAAAAAAATCTACAACTGTCCATGTCAAAACATCATTTAATGTCTCCATAGAATAGCCTTCAAACAAAAGAACTAATTGAAATAAATTTCTTAAAACCCAAACATTCCAATAGATTCGAAAAGTCCCCTTGTGAAACAAATAAATGGCATGGAACAAGTTTTCTTTGGTCATCATCTGTGGCCTTGTTTACATAATGTTGCTTGGTACTAGAAATCATCTATCTACCAAGTTGTCATTGTCTCCTTTCCTCATTTCCTGAATTGCTTTTTCATTCATAAACATCGATCTTCATCACAAAGTCCAAATTTTATCATAAGATTTGAGATTCTTCAATCTTCCACATTTGACTGCCTCATTCTAAAAATTTGTTGACCTTGTCCTAGTAGTACTATTCATGGTGAATTCTTATTTTCTTTATATATAGTTTTCTCTTAAGGGGTTCTCTTCTTTTATTTGTTTTCCTCTTTCTTGTTTCTTTCCTGCTTAACTTTATTCACTTCATTGCTGAAGTGGAATATTGGAGGGAAAGGATTTGATTTTCATTCGTATTGTTTAGATTTGGAGTTATCCCATGTTGCATTTGCAGATGATTTGTTTCTATATTAGCAGTATTGAGCATTCTTTTTGTTTGGTCAGGGACACGATTGCTGAATTTGGAAGTTTCTCTGGTTTGAAGCCTAATCTTCATAAGAGTTGTGTGTCTATAGCTGGTGATAGCGATGAAGTGGGATAGCAACTGTGCAACATATTGGAGATGCCAAAGGGTGAACTACCAGTTAAATACTTAGGTCCACCTCTTAGTTCAAGAAAACTCAGCTACAAGGACTGCCAACCTGTTTTTATGAAGATTCAGTAGAGGGTACAATGTTGGGCAGTAAAAAAGCTTACCTATGGAGGTCGGTTGCAGGTTATCTTATCTATCCTTAGTGGTATCTTCCTCCATTGGACTAGTGTTTTTACACTACCCAAAGCAGTACTTCAAAGGATTGACAGCATGTTATCCTCATTTCCTTGGTATGGTGAAATTAAATCACATTATGGAGCAAAAGTAAAGTGGGAAGATGTCTGTAAACCAAAGAAGAATGGTGGACTAGGAGTGCAGAGCATAGCCAACTGGAATAAGTGTTTGATCCTTAAGTTCATTTGGAATATATGTCAGAAAAATGATACTTTATGGGTTAGATGGAAACACTTTGTGATGTTGAAAGGGCACAGTCTATGGGAAGTAAAAATTCCTTCTGATTGTTCATGGTGTTGGAGAAAGTTGTTACACCTTAGGCACCTTGCTCAGCCATGGATTAAAATGGTGAAGGTAAGAGCATTTTTTCTTGGTTTGATAATTGGCATGCACTTGGGCTTTTATATTTAAGATATCCTGAATCTTTATATAAGAATTTAGGATTGTCTATTAACTCTAAGATAAGTGATCCAGCGAATGATGGAACATGGTCCTAGCCCAAAGGAAGGAGGTTTAATGCAATAGTGCAAGAGTTTCAAGAGTCTATTCCCGATTTTATGTTGCAGCAAATGCATAGAGAGGATCATGTGAAGTGGATTGTATGTGGTTCAGGTGTTTTTTTTGTTAAATCTGCTTTGAAGAAACTTTATCGGGCAGATAGAAAAGTGAAGCGACATTCTTTAGTTTAGGGAAAAGGTTTTGTTCCCAACTATGCGTTTATACTGTGGTTGATGTTAAAGCAAAAGTTGATGACTAAAGATAGACTTATCAAGTGAGGTGAGACTGATATACTTCATAGATGTGTGTTATGCAATGAAGACACCGAATCTGTTAAACATCTATTTTTCGAGTGTTCCTACTCCAGGTGTATATGGGATAAAGTGCAAAGATTGTGCTTGCTGTATATGGGGTGCTTACCCTGGGAACAGGAAGTAGACTAGTGGTGTCACCATGGTGGTTCAAACTCCTTTGCTGCTAAGATTAGAAGATTATCTCTTACTGTCACTGTCTAGTATCTTTGTTAGGAGAGGAATAGAAGGATTTTACAACATGTTGTTACAGGTACTGGACAAGTCCTTACAGCTAGCAGTAAAGTGGTCTAAATGGTGGTTGTTTCATGGCCTAAAGCTCCACGAATTCAAAAGAATTAGCAGTTGATGATTGAATGGAAGTTGTCAATAGAGTGTCTGATGTAATAGTTGCAGTAGTAGCTATAGATAGACACACTTGTGTATAGTGACGATCACTGAAGTATCTCAGATGCAGTAGGAGTTCTTTTCTCCATTGTACAGCTGAATTGCATATCAATAAAATAGTTCATTTTTGCCTAAAAAAAATTTATACACTTCCATCCCCATCAAAGTACCCTTTCTCTCTCTTTCTTTGACTCTCTATCCACACCGAAAGCACACAAAACACCTAAACATATAAGACGACTTTTCAGTCCGCGAAGCATTGAATTTCACACAGGAACAGAACTTTAACAAACAAGGACATTATTTTGCAGAAAAAAAAGGACAAAGCTTGAATGCGGCTCTCAATTACATGAGGCTATTTCAATCATCGACTAGTTCAACAATTTTAGACCAGATTTTTCGACGAATAAAGATAAAAGAATAAAAAGTTAAATCCTACAGTAGTTTCAAGTCTACAGACTTTCTAAAACTGATCACTTATACCAACGTTAGACCAGCATAGAAAGAACAAATTATGCAGAACCTCCACACAAACAACAAAAATAAAAGAATTCCTTGCTTTAGTTCCAACTTAGAAAGCCTTGTACTAACTCTTGCTTGTGGCAAAAAATTTAATCATTAACCATGATACCAAAATTTTCGAGGGATAATTTCAGAAAC